TAGGGGAAAAAGAAAATGTTAGTACTCCTACTCCATTCTTGCAGTTAGTGTCAGAAGTGAGGGTAGGGATTCTGCCTCTAACTTTGCAGTTGATCTAAACTTTTCATAGGGAATTTTCAGGTTTGTTTGAGCAAGAGCCACAGCAAGTTCACCTGATTGTCACTTTTGAAGTACCAAGTTGTACTATAAAGGTATAGGATGGAGTTTATGATGACCTTGCCTACCCTCAAAGTAAGCACAACCTGTCTTTAGAGTTTAAAGATCAATGACACCTTGAATGCATATTACTCTACAATAAACACCTTTATGGGGTTTTCCCACAAGAAAATATTTTTTAAATAGAAGGTGGAAAAGTATCTCTTTCAAGTATCAACAAGTGTTGTAAAGTAAGGCCAGGTATCAACCACATGAAAATATGTTGAGTGACATACTATGATTTTATTTACGTGAAAACCAGGAATACTAATCACTGTTGATAGAAGTCAGAATAGTGGCTATCTTGGAATGTTCTGGGGTTGGGTGGGGAGATTTGAGTGCTCATTGGGAAGGTCGTAGGGAGTATTATGGAGTGTTGGAAATGGTCTATATCTTAATTTGGGTAGTAGTCTCATTTTAGTATACCTCTGTTTTTGTAAAGCTATACCGCAATAAAAAAATGAAATATCTTAGCCACATAATAAAGGAAATATTGAGTGCGAAAATCTGTATTGCGTTAACAAGTATTTGCTCTCTGCTATGTGTCAGGCATTCTGCTGCTACTTGTGGTTACAATATAGATAGAGCAAGAACCAGAAATGAAACCTGTTTATAAACAACCAAGTCAGCCATTTTTAGCCTTTAGGCTACCACCAGCAACAACTCGGACTTTAAACTCAGTGTGTCTTATTCTCTAGAATCAATCCTACAAATAACCCTTCATAATTTTGCATATAAATTCTACCTCTTCTTTATGCCCAATTCAGTGTTCACTTTTTGCACAAAAGTTTTTAATCTCCTGAATGCAGCAGTGGCCTATCTTTACTTTGGACAATTTTTGGGATTCATAATATACCTCACAACTCAACACTTCATTGTTCTCAAATAGTTTTGTGTTAAATTTGTCACCCACCCAGCCCTAACTGGTTTGGCTCAGTGGATAGAGCGTCGGCCTGCGGGCTGAAGGGTCCTGGGTTCAATTCTGGTCAAGGGCACATGCCCAGGTTGCAGGCTCAATTCCCAGTGTGGGGAGTGCAGGAGGCAGCCGATCAATGATTCTCTCTCATCATTGACGTTTCTATCTCCCTCTCCCTCTCCATTCCTCTCTATTCCCCCTCCCTTCCTCTCTGAAATCAATAAAAATATATTTTAAAAAAATTTGTCACCCACCCAAATTGTAAGTTCCCCTAAGTTCCTTGAGACTAGAGTCATATATTTTTTTTAAAGTTCCACAATGCATAGCAAAGTGTGGGTTATGTGATGTTTTCTTAATTATTGTGGGAAGAGTGAATGAAATATTCAATTTGACTGTATTAAACATACTTAAGAACAGTCTAAACTTCTTGAAAGAGGGAAGTGCTTGAAAGAGGGAAAATTATTCTTGATATTCCACTCATTCTGATAAGAAATGAAGAGAGGCTCTCCTTAGGTTTTTAATACCAGTAAATTTGCTTTAATTGAGCAAGAAAAAAGCATCCTGGATAAAAAAACTTGTCTCCAAATATCTCTTCATCTCCTATAGTAATAGAACTCCTGACAAAACACCCCTGACAGCTGTCAACCTATCTGGATTTTGCTTATTCGTTAATTTTGTTCATTAGATTCCACATATGAGTGAAATCACTTAGCATAATGAGTATGAGTCTTTTTAAACCTATTTTCTGGTCTCTATAGTCTACTAAACTTGAAAACTTTTCTTCTATATCCTAAAAAAGGCCTCCTATAATTAAACATATAATTAAAAATATTTTTCTCTATTTTTTTTTAAACTCTTCCACTTGTTGAATGTTAAGTCTGCTGAATTGGCTCTCCATGAGTCTTTTCTCATATTTTCTTTTATGTTTATGTATGCTATGTTCTAGATTTCTTTGGTTTTACTTAAGTAATGATGTTTTATAAGTGTTTCAGAATTCTATTTCATGCTATGGTTGTTCCTTTTTCAAAGTACCCTGATGTAATATATTTTTAATACTGGAGAATTATAAACTGGAGTGCTTTTTACAAATGTCCTTTTATCTCAGGAATTATACTTGATTCCTTTAGAGTTAATTTTTCTACCTGCCTTTATTTGTCTTTTTCATAGTGGTGATTACCCTGATTTGTGTGTTGATTCTTTTTATGTTCATCCTATCTAATAAAAGGGAAATATGCAAATTAACTGTCACTCCACAACAAAGATGGAAGCACCCATAGTGGTCCGGGGTGGGTCACTGGTGGTGTCGCCCCAGCAATGTGAGCCCAGCATCTGCGCCCCAGCCACACGGAGGCAGGGGAGGGTCCTTGACCTGGCCATGTAGAGGGAGGGGAAGAGCCTCGGGCCAGAGGCCAGGGCGAGGGATGCTGGGCTCACAGTGATGCAAGCCCAGTGTCCCCGCCCCAGCCACATGGAAGAAGGAGAGGGGCCTTGGGCCAGAGGCCGGGATGAGGGACGCTGGCGTCGTTCCAGGCCGGGCTGAGGAACCCCCTACCCCCTCCTGTGCATGAATTTTGTGCACCAGGCCTCTAGTATATGTATAAAAAGAATTGGTCATTAATATGGTTTTCCTCTGTTTTTAGTAGATAGAATGTCTTCCAGTTCACTCTCCTTTATAGATAGTTTTGATAAATTCATGAAGTATATTTCTTTGGCCAGAACTATCTAATAGAAATAAGATTCAAGCCATATATTAAGTCTACCAGACCTGAGGCCCTGAACCTAACTGTCCCCTATACCTGGGCTCCTGAGCATTAAAGAGAAAAAACCAACATGATATAGAAAAATGTTAGTTACATGCAAACAAGTGGTTAGAATAAGATGGAACTTGGAGACATTGTAGAAAATAGGTCTACCTTTCATTTAGTGCCGATATTCCACCTTTGTATGCCAATCCACTGAAATTTCGTGCCAATCCATGAAAAATCAGTACAGCAGTCTGGTAGGGTTAAAATTTTCTAGTAAGCACATTAAAAAAATAAACAGGTGAAATTAATTTTTATATATTGACCCAATATATACCATTATTTTAACATGTAGTCAGCATAAGTATTAAGATATTTTACATTTTGAATGGGGAGACAGGGGGTGGAGGAGGGACAAGAAAAAAAAAAGATATTTTACATTTTTTTGAACTAAGTCTTCAATATCTGGTGTATATTTCAGATTTACTGCATGTCTCCACTCAGATTAGCCACATTTCAAGTGTAAATAGCCATATTTGGCTAGTGGCTACCCTACTGGACAGGGCAGTTCTAGACACAGTCTATTTTCATTTCCTCCTTCTCCCTTAAGCCTCTGGAATTGTAATGAGAACAATAAATGTACTAGCATTTATTGTTAGTACTGGTCATTATCATATGGCCTCCTTTCATTATTTACCTTTTGATGCATTTTGTCTTGTCTCATAGCTAACCTGTAAATTCTTTTTAAGGCTGAAATTATAGACTAATTGAATCTCAAGGTTGGGAATGGCTTTAAAAAAACCATCAACTAATTCTCTTAATGCATGGCTTCTCTGTATCCATTCCCCTCTAAAAACCATAGGAATCTACTTAAAGTAAAATCCAATGGTCAGGGCTTCCACCCACCCTAAGCCACAAATTTTCTGGCTAGTGTTAGAAGGAAATCTTCTTTTCAAATCTGAAATCTGTTTCTCTTAAGTGTGCACTTCTTAAGACCACATGAAACAAATCTGTCCTCTGATGAGTCTTTACTTATTTGGAGGTAGTCCCAGTAGCTTTTTCCTTTCTATAAAAATCCTTCGAAGTTCAATCACTACTTCTTCATTGGTGGTACTTTTGAGTTCTCTCCATCATTTTTCTCTCCTCTGAAATAATTCCAACTTCTTTGATGTCTTCTTAAAGTGCTCAATCTAGAACTGAACAAAGAACTCCAGATGTGGTTTGGCCGGTGAAGAGTATCACTGGGTAACTATTGGCTGCTTCTCTATAAAAAAAAGTTCAACCAGGTCACGACACATTCCTATGAGAAGCGGGGATGGAAGAGCAAATTATTAACACATTATTAACTCATACTGTAACAGGGTATAAGGTATAGACTAACAAAACTTATAGTCTAAAACAGTGATGGCGAACCTATGACACGTGTGTCAGAGGTGACACGTGAACTCATTTTTTTGGTTGATTTTTCTTTGTTAAATGGCATTTAAATATATAAAATAAATATCAAAAATGTAAGTCTTTGTTTTACTATGGTTGCAAATATCAAAAAATTTCTATATGTGACATGGCACCAGAGTTAAGTTAGGGTTTTTCAAAATGCTGACACACCGAGCTTAAAAGGTTCGCCATCACTGGTCTAAAATATGTTTCATGTTTAAGCATGTTACAGGTAGCAGCAGTTCCAGTTCTCTTTTTCACAGGTCTTGATCACAGTAGTCCAGCAGATGTTGATGGCTAGCCAGACCTGAAACATTCTGTCCCCAGATATCAGCAATAAAACCTGCAGTGAGAAAAAATGACAGATGCTGACACACACCAAAGAGAACATCAAAACCACCTGAGAGTGGGAATGTGAAACTGCAGGTCACCAGAATCCCTTAGTTCCCCTCTTTCAACAGCCCACCTATAAAAACCCCTGCCTGCACTGAGATGCTAAGATGGGCTTGGAGATGAGAGTCCCCCATTTTCCCCAGTGATGAACACTTGAATAAACCTCTTTCCTTCCATCAGCACCTGTGTTGGGTGTTTGGCTTCAGGGTGGCAGACAAAAGCCTGAAGGTCCTTTGGGCCGGTTTCAATACCATCTTTACATGCCCAACTTTTAGTTCAGGACTATACACGCATACACTGCACAGTTCTTGAGGTTAGTCATTTTTTTCCTGAATGTTGCCTTCCTGTTGTTTTCAATTTAGCCAGAGAATCACCAGACAGTTTGTTTTTGGTGGTGGGTGGTCCAACCAAAGAGGCAACTAGCAGAGATAACTTGAAGAGAAGTACACGGAGAATCCAGAAAGCAGGACTTGAAACCAGGGAACCCTGTACAAAGTACTCAGCAGCCCGGAGCTCTGGCTGGTGATGGCATTTGGTGATGGCATTTACCTGGTTCTTCATACATAGTCACTGCTCCTCTCTCCTTTGCCTTTAAGGGGACTGCTTTTCTCCATGCCTTCACTTTACAGATCAGGGCGGAGGGAGATTCGGCCGACTCCAGTGATTGCAGGGTTAGACTCTCAGACAAACAGCTGGAGGAGACAGCTCTGGGCACGCAACAGACCTGGAGTCACCGTCTGAGGCGCGCCCTCGCCTCGGGCCAGGTCCTGCCTGGAGCTC